CCGTTATTTAACTATGTGCTATACAAAATAATGGACTGAAGGCGAAGTGTGGTTCTTTTCGATCTCCAAAGGATTTCTTGGGGAAATGAGTCCGTGCGATTTAATCAAATTTTAAAGTTGGATAAAATGAGCTGATTTGACGATGCCGTCAGTTGTTCGAAAATGTTCACATTGACACACGAACTGAATTGTTTCGCATTTTACATCCAATCTACAGCTTATTTATATATCTTATTAACCAAGCGCGAGGGCCGTACTGGGAAGACCACGGGCCGATATTCTCCCAGTACGGCCCTCGCGCTTGGTTAATAAGGTATATTTATTAGGAAGACCATTAAATGGTGGTTCGTAATCAGCCACACTCTTCGGTTGGAGCATTCGTTCGTTGATACATTTTCGATGCTTGTACCAGCTCAAACCATTGTCGAAGGTGTACCCTGCGGGTTTGTTAGTTTTCTTACTGTAGTACTCCATCACTGGACTATCTGGTCGGAATGGAATTCGGCCCTCAGATCTCTAAACGGTGGAAACATCGACTGGGTTTGAAATCTTCACTAAGTCATCAATGCAAAGTCCTACAAATTTTGTCCTGAATATTGGACCGAACTGTTCCGCATTCCTAAGCTGAGATTTAACACGATTTCCCAGCATCTGCCTCATTCATTTTCTGTTGGAAAGAAAGGATCTTAAGACCATTCACAACAAACTTCTTCGCCAGAGCAATGCCTCGTAAATTCGAATGAGGACCGCGAAGATCGTGAATGGAACGTCCCTCTGTTGTTTGTACATTTTCGCTTGTTACTCCCGCAAATAACCTCCCACTGAGTTTCGAAAACACTTTACTGCGAAAACGAAGAGAATTTTCCAAAGAAGCGCGACATCCACACTGAACTGAGTGCATAATCGTCGAAAATTGTTTTACCCCACCCCGTCACTCAAAACCTGTGACGAGGCCGACGTGTTAGATTGCGTGAGTCAAGTGTCTTCTTAAATGCGTCATGAATATGGCACCAAGTGTCGACAATTTCCAATTACATCATGTTCATTTAATTTGTAATTCGCGGAACTACGACAAAGATGTCGCTCAAGGGAGGAACTAATCCAAGAACAGCTGTTAAAGTAACGGCTAAAAAACACAGATGGTATCTTGGAGGTATTGCCTCAGCCATGGCTGCTTCTTGCACCCATCCGTTGGATCTTTTAAAGGTATAAAAAGAATTTTGCACTATACTTGAATGAAATGTAGTAAAAAGTTGCGTCACAATTTTCCGGAATAATTTCTCCCACTATCTGTCAGAGTATCATCTTTAAAATTGAGAAGAATGTTTGCATTAAAATCGTACCTATAAATTTGTGGGTTTTTATTTGTCAAATTTATAAATAATTATCTAAAGCAGACCAGCGCAGATTGCATCAGCTGGCCGGCTACTCTAGAGATTAGAAGAGTCATCTACGAATATTTTTGCTGCTGTCAGAAAAAAATTCTCTTAAGCTACTGGCTATGGCAAGGAATGATAACAGATGTCAGATGAAATTTGAAGCACCTTTATTTCAGATGGTGAACACATTCAATGGGAGTGTTACCCCTTCACAGTTTCACACTAAGGGTGTCCACGGAAGTTGCCTGACTTTACACCCTTACAAGAGTGCACCTTACTTTCCCTCCCCCCTTAGTCTGCAAGAGAGCTGCATCATAAAACAGTGTTGACTTTTGAGATATGAATCACAAGAGTGACAATAATTAGTCGCAGGAAAAATTGCAAACACAGTTTAAAAACCTTTGTCAAAGTAGTGGTGTCCAGTCTGGACATGCTAGTCCAGAAAAATTGGTTTGGCACACAAAGATATGACAAAAGAAAACTCTCACCTGCATGAATTGTGGGAAAGGGGCTTGGTCAACCAAGGGTCTATCATAAACCTACAGGTATACACTTGGAGATTATTTGAAAACTTAGTAAGCTGGAGTTGTCACAGGGTACTTGTGATTACTTGTATCAGTCTTCAAGATGTATCATGGCATTATTCTAGGACTCCTTTAGAACTGTCAGAATTTTTTTAATTGCATGGTGTATCTAGTACTGGGAAAGATTTATGCCTTGTATATTTTCCCATCTGTGCATTTTCACTAACCTGAATTTGCAAGATTTGCAATTTATTTACTTTTAAAAAGATAATCACATGCTCCCCAAGGTCACAGGCACCCCAGGCCCTTACTTACACCCTTGATTAAGGTACTTGAGTCAATATAATTGTAAAATAATGTCTTTGAGAATGATGATGGAGAGCAATAATATACGGTCATACAGTTCCATGCAAGATTTAGAGAACTTAACCAATTTTTATGTGATCCAGCCAGTTACAGGCAGTGGAACCTGGCTTACTCAAACTTGTTTAAATCAAACCCCCGGCTAGTAACTTGAACAAGATCGGATTTCCCTTGGCCCAATTTTTCAGTCACTTACTATCAGCTAACTAAAACCCCTGTCAACTTGCAATTAACAAATGGTAAACACCACA